TTCGAACAGCTTCAAACAAGTTCGCTTACATCTAATGAAATCTCACTGGCATCCTCAATCCAAATATGTAGGATACCTTTTAGAACATCTGTATTAATCATCGATAACATGATGTCATCAGGAATTTTCTTCTATCACGTACAAAACATCCTCAAAGATGCTTATTGAATCCTTAAAGATTCTTCAAAAACATAGAAATTATATCTTCTCAGAATTTTCTCAGTTTAGAAGTTTTACACAGTTCATTATTTCATTACTTAAATTCTTCTCTGATATTCATATGAATGATCATCCTACAAAAAGATTCTGGATTCTTGCAATTCCGAATAAAATTCTCAGATCTCGATGTTTTTCTATCAAAAGCTTACATGGAATTAGCATTACTCTTTCTTCGAGAACCTCCTTACAGCAATCTCCAAGTGTTGTTTTTAGGATCAAAAAGACCTTGGCAAGAACTAGAAGTAACATAGATGTAAGAATCGTTACCAAATCCTTTTTTCTCATAAGAAACTAGGAAAAGACTTCTGAATTTTTATCTATGGAATGAGCATTCTCAAAGATGAATGTCGTATTTGTAGCGCTTGCTCCCACGAGAGACGAGATCTCTTCGACAACGATGATTCCTTTTCTTTTTTGTTCATTGTAGTAATTCTCAATATTCCAGTTGATGCCCGATGGAAACAGAATGGAGTGACTGTTGCTGGAAGCCATGGGAAAGGCAATGCTACCAATCAACTCTACTGGCCTGAAGGTCTCTTCGTTGATGATGATCAAACGATGGTCATCGCTGACTTCTACAATCATCGTATCATCCAATGGAAGATGGGTGATACGAATGGACAAGTAGTAGCTGGTGGCAATGGCCAAGGAAATCGATTGGATGAATTGAATCGTCCAAGCGATGTGTTGATCGACAAAGAGACGGATAGTCTCATTATTTGTGATTGGTGGAATAAACGCATCGTACGATGGTCTCGTTGTAGTAGTACAACTCAAGGAGAAATCCTCATCAACAACATCAGGTGTTGGGGATTGGCCATGGATAATCAGAGATATCTCTACGTCTCTGACACCGACAAACATGAAGTAAGACGATATCAAATAGGAGACAAGAATGGAACTATTGTGGCTGGTGGCAATGGCAAAGGCCCTGGTCTCAATCAACTCAACTGGCCGGCCTACATCTTTGTCGATCAACAACAGACTGTCTACGTGTCAGACAACAGCAATCATCGTGTAATGAAATGGAATAAAGGTGCAAAAGAAGGAATTGTTGTCGGTGGACGTCAAGGCAAAGGGAATGCTCTGACACAATTGTCGTATCCTAATGGACTGTTCGTCGATACGTTGGGTACCATCTATGTGGCAGACTTGTGGAATCATCGAGTGATGCGTTGGCCTAAAGGAGCGAAAAAGGGCACTATCATTGTGGGTGGAAATGGTAACGGAGAAGGAGCAAATCAGTTCCAGCGTCTCGGAGGTTTGTCCTTCGATCGACAAGGCAATCTCTATATCGTCGATTGTCGGAATAACCGTGTTCAACGCTTTTCAATCAAATAGACTCATTACGATGGATTATTTTTTTTCTTTCCTTTCGCTTCAAATAAATCACGTTGAATTGATGAAATGAATGTCTATTCTATTCGCGCGCGCGCGCAACCAGGCACCATCCTGGTGGAGCCGTGGCGAGCGTAACGCTCATGCAAACACGGTACAGACTCAAATCATTCATATCTCTCCCACTCGAGAGATACGTCAATGAGTCTGGGGGAGGGGTCCGGTCGTGTGCCACGGACACCAAGACAGTTCCTGGCCGGGCCTTTAGGGGCTATCCGGAAGTCCTTCATAGAAGATGAAATCCTAACCCTCAACGGACAGAACTCACTCCCGCCCCCACTAACACTCACTTTGCTGAGGCTCACTCTAACTCTATCTATTCTCATCTAAAAAAAAAGAAATAATTACTCACGTCTTGTGACTTTGAACGACGATGTTGTTGTTAATGACGCGACGTGATGATAGACTAAAAGGAAAAGAAAAAATTTCATTTAATCATATATGGGGTGGGTGTGGGTGTGAGTGTGGGTGTAGATGGGTGTGGGTGTGGATGTGGGTGTGAATGGGTGTGGGTGTGAGTGGGTGTGGATGTGGGTGTGAATGGGTGTAGGTGTGAATGGATGTGGGTGTGGGTGTGGATGCGGGTGTGGATGCGAGTGTAGATCTTCTTTTTACCCACCCGCACACCCACCCGCACACCCACCCGCACACCCACCCGCACACCCACACCCCACACCCCCACCCACACCCACATCCACACCCACCCACACCCTTGGGTTTATGTGCTCTACAGATAGACTGGATGTTGACCTATCGATCGCCGTTTGTATGAGCTCGATCGGACTTGCCATTAATTTTTTATTTCATTTTTACGAAAAACCTGTTTTTTGAAATTTGTCAAAATTCCACTATCTGATAAAAAAGCTGTTAGCGCAATCCCTTGCGGGATTAAAAATGTGAAACACGATGTAGCTGTTATAGCCGATGTTCTAAAAGCTGTTGCTTTTTGTGCATACTGATGTACATTTCGTCATAATGGTTTACCTTACATTATAGACTTTCAACAGAATAATACTCCACATGTGCTTCAATCATATGTGAGTTATGCATCATCTCTGATATTTCCTTGAAGTCTTCTATCACAGTCTATAATGACCCCTCAGTCCTGTCTGTGACGGTCTGTGACGGAGGGTGAGTGGATATGAATGTGGGTGTGGATGTGGGTGTGGGTGTGGGTGGGTATGGGTGTGGATGTATGTGGGTATGGGTGTGGATGTAGGTATGGGTATTGATCTTCTTTTTATCCCCCCACACACCCACAGCCACCCACATCCACACACACACCCACACACGCACTCACACACCCACACCCCACCTACACCCACACCCACACCCACACCCACCCACCTTTTCTTCTTGATTTTTCTAATTTAAAACCAACTGATTTTAAATAAAGAAAATCAGAAAAATCAAAAAAAAATCAAAACAATCAGAAAAACCAAAGAAATCAAAACATTCAAATGAAAATCAGAAAAAAAATCAAAAAAACCACAGAAATCAAGAAAATCTGATTTTGGCTTTTCCGCTGTAAATTGATGCTTTCAACAATAGAGATTAAAAATTTATTAGTTACATTTGATTTTTCTAATTTTCGTGATTTTTTTGATTTTTTTTCTGATTTAAATCAGGGCGGGGTGTGGGGTGTGGGGTGTGGGTGTGGGTGTGAATATGAGTTCTAATCTTCTCTTGACGCACACCCACACCCACATCCTCTTGCTTTTTCTGAAAAGACCTCCTGATAAACTTTTGATTCATGACAAAAAAGTTCGAATTTCTAAAATTTTAATTTGATAAGTCTGCTTGTAATATATTAAATTTTACATAGAAAGTAAACAATTTAATTGAAAATAAATAAAATTCTATACAATCTCTGTTATTTTAAGTTTGAATGGCCGATAATTTAATCGACGTATCGATTGAATAGAAAATGAATATGAAATTACACCACTAGCCTACATGCACACGTATATACTAAAATGCACCCCTGCTGAAAAAAATAATTGCGATGTGTTATTCAGAATCATGAAAAAACTGATTTATCGAACTCTGTTCGTTCTGTACATGTAATGAGCATATCTGTACACATAGCATATACACTGAATTGATATTAAACCCCCTCCCAGAATAAAAGGGCATGCCCTTATACAGTGTCTTGGCACATCGCTACGTTTTGGATGGCCTTCTATTGGGGGTCAATTTTTGGCCAGTTTTTAATTAAAATTATTTAAAAAATTAATAATTAATTTATAACTTTAATTATTGCTATTTAGGTGATTTTTGCTGAAAAAACTACCATCTTTTGTAAAAATTGTACTATTTATGATAGGAAAGGAAGGATTTCGCAAAAAAACATTAGGAAATCGGTTATATTTCCTTAATTATTAATAAATATTTATAAAAACTTCGATAATTTTGGAATATATTAATTAATTAGTAAATGGCCTTCTAATAGAGCGTTTGAACTTTTGCTCGGACATGGCCTTATACAGGGGGTGGCCTTCTAATATAGGGTGGCCGTCTATTTTGGGGGGGGCTTTAGTCATATAATGACTTTTCATATGCACGGAATAGATTGTAAAAACAGATAAAACATTGTATGTATTAGGAAATAATTATTATGACATTGATGATTTTTACCATTCATAATGTAATTCTATGCGCAAATTTTATCTGAACTAGGATATCTCCAGACGTTCGTTTAAATTACATATGTTGGAAAATTATGTTTTATGGTTATTACACGTCCAAGGTATATAAAATTGAAACCGTGAGACTTTGAAGTCATACATATAAAAACAGAGCGATACATCTTGTTACTCTACACACCTTTGCCACTTTCTGACCAAAAACAACAACAGTACATTATAGCATTTACTTTTTGCATGGCTGCTATTCCATTGCCGAACATATTCTCAGATCCATTACGATTGGTTCCTGTAGTTGGTACCCTGATAAACAGTATTTTTACTGTGGTCGAGAAAATTAGAAGAACAGTTCGACGAGCAAAGGTCAACAAACGCCAATGTAAAACGCTCAGTGAACGCATAGAAAGAACGGTTTCGTACTTGCAAACACCAGAATTTTCTGAACCATCTCTGCCATACATAGATGCATTGCATAGAACACTCGAAAGTTTCTACGAATTTCTTGAGGAATGTCTAAGATTCATTTCTCAGTTTGAACACACGAGACGGATAAGCCGATTGTTTTCCGTTTCCGATTATGAAGAAAAATTTAGCAATCTTAACAATAAATTGGAACACTACTATTCTGAACTCACGATGGGTATTACTATGCAGAATCTTATTGATAAGCGTCAAGATGAATGCGATCGATACGAGGATCTGAAAGAAATACCGACCATAATCGTACAACAGCGACAAATGATGATTCAACAAGTAGATGACAGACTTCAAGATTTAGTTAAAAAAGTTGATAGACTTGAGCAAAAATATCGTGATAAAGAAAGTACAATAAAAGACGATAGAGGTACTGCTCCGAAAACTGTCAACATCGCAAATTCAGAATCTTCTGCAAAAGAACAACGTAAGTTTACCTTAAATCATATTCTACGTAAATGTTCGTACATAAACCATATCATTTACGTACTTAGCTGTTAATACTCGTCCTTCATCTGTATATGCATCAAATGATATCTTTATTAATGGCATATGGTCCAATCGTTATTATCAATATGGAGTATGGCATGGACCATTCTCAAATTCGATGAAATTTAATACATATAACAACACGTACGAAGGTTATGGCAAAGATGATGTGGGGCAATTCATTTTGAGTGGAACATATTCAAAAGATACTAAACAGATCTATATGATTCAGTCATATAAAGTAAGTTCATTTGGCACACTAGTTAAACTCGAAAATTTTACTGTCGTTTCACCTAGTATGGTATTGGTAATTCAACACTGAATTTGGGTCACCAACGTGTATTTCAACTGACGTGGAACAGAGTGAGATGTCTGTTTGAGAGTATTATGTTTGTATCAAATGGATTGATGATGGTACCTAGTGGCGTGTTCGAAATGTCACTTGTCGAAGCTGCAGGAAACATTTTTTTTTATTTTTACGATTATCGTATATAATAAATTAATTTAAAAAATGAATTGTGTATCAGATTTGCAAGAGCAAAACGGCGGATTCCATATTCTCGGGATTTCCGTGGAATTTGTAAAATTTTCATAATACCGATTTGTATTTCAGTAATTTATTTTTAAACTCTATGATTATCGTTCTAGTTCTGGAAACCTCATGCAGCTGAGATCAGGACTTCACTACTTTGTCACATGGTTAGAAAGACTACATTAAACTATTGCGGAAAAAGATCCTGTATTGAAAATTCTGAATAGTTAGCCTAATTAGATGCGTAGAAAGCACATTGGAACAACAGAACAGTTTATTTTCTTATGTTTATCGAAAAGTGACCGAGATAGAATTACAAACAGTGGCAAGAAATTAGGTAAATCAATAAATAATAGAAAACTTATGTCATACCAAAGAAACCTATACAGCATCTCATTTGTAGCCTTTTATTTATTTATGTTGAGAGCGTGCTAGTTCATTTCAATGTTGGCACCACCCACACCCCACATCCAGCTTGAGGGTGTGTTGGTGTGGGTGCAGATGTGGGCGCGGGTGTAGGTGCGCGTTTGGGTGTCGGTGGTCTTCTTCTTTGAACCCACACGCGCATCCACATCCCAAACCCACACCCACACCCCACAGTCACAACCTCAGTCACACCCACACCCACAGTCACAGCCTCAGCCACACTCAGACCCATCCACACCTCACACCCACACCCACCCACCCACACCCACACCCTCAATAATATTAATTCATTAATATTAATGTTAATGTTCTAATTAAACAGTAACATTAATATCAATGAATTAAATTTTTTCTAAGAAAACATTAACTATTAACGTTAAAACATTAAAAGTTAATGTTTTTTTTTGAAAAATTTAATTCATTGATATTAATGTTAGTGTTTAATTAGAGCATTAACATTAATATTAATGAATTAATGTTATTAATTAATGTTTAATGAGAACATTAATCATTAATATTAATGACTTAATATTAATGAATTAAATTTTTAAAGGAAAACATCAACCATTAATATTAATGTTAATGATTTTCATTAACATTAATATTAATGTAAATGGTCCACCCCTAGCCGTAAAGCATCATTTACGATTGCAGTATATGGCTAACGAAAACAGCTGCAGTTATCCGCCGTAATTAGTTGGTATACGGCCGTGTACGACCGAGCATGATTGACCTGGGCACCCACACCCTTTTTATTTTTTTGAACTTCAGGAGAACAAAATACGAGTAAGCTCATGATGACAGAATGTTCTGTGATACGTGATGCTATGAAATCATCAGTGTCATTAGAGAATGAACCTGCTATCTGCCTGAGGAGCTCTCAGCGCCATCGAGTTGGAACAGTTCCCATTATTAAATGCAATGCTGATGAAGAACAGTCTGGCACGTTACGTTATCCAAAATTTTAGTACATGTATAAAACCAGCACCGTATGACAGAGGCTTCGGATATTCTTGGCAATTTCGTGATGGATTCAGTAATCGTGGAATGTTTCAAAGCTATGAGGCAGATCATGGTGCTGAAAATTGTGAACAATCTGGTCTAATTGTGCATCCAAAATGAGGGTGGGTGTGGGTATGGATGACGATGAAAAAGTGATACTATCCAGACTCACACACCCACACCCATATCTGCACCTACACCACCACACCCCACAGCCAGACCCACCCACACCTTCTGATTGGGCAAAATTTGAAGCTGAAAAAGTCTGATTGGTCGGAAGCCCGCGCTCAAATACGTCTGCTTGGGTTATTTCTCAGAGTGAAAGTCCGATTTTGTGATCTGATGTTTTTTTGACCTAGCACAAACCCACAAAGCTACAAACGCATTTTAGTCTTTTTTCATATGATCCTTCCTTCGATCGAGGGCAAAAGTGATAAATGTAAGAACGAATAGGACCTTTATCATATGAAAATGAGGATGCATGTTCCGCCAAACAATTCAATATCAAGAAAAATTTCTTTACTAATTTCATAATGCTGAGCAAGTCATCATGAACTTAAGATGAATTTCTTGTTGATGAATAATATAGAGCCATAATAAGATTAGTAAAAGATAGACAAAAATATTTCTTTTATAAAGATTAGTATAGTGGCGTAACCAGAATTTGCACGGTGGTGGGACGATGATGGGGCTCAGCTGCTGCAATTCTGCTCGATGGTGGGGCTCGAAACGGAATTTGGCTGGAGCAAGTTTCTTGGGTGGTGGGGCTGAGCCTCACCTGGCCACCCCTTGGTTACGCCACTAGATTTGTATATTTTGAAATAAATATTGAAGTGTCGTACTTGACATACATATCAAGTTTAATTCTTGTAATCAAAATAATATCCATTTCATCATCCAAGCTCAGATCAGTTGACAATCATCATTACGTAATTACAACTCTGATTCAATTGTATTCGAGTACATTCATGTTGATCTGATTTTTTCTTACCATTAAATCTAATCTAGGAAACAATCGAAAGGTTATTTTTCGTTATTATTAATATTAATATAAAATCAAACAAAGAAAAGAACAACGAACAATAATTTTAATCGCAGGCAGTATTTTTGTGTGAAGATTTTTGAGAGGTCTAGTTTTTCGTTGATAAAACAAATATTGGGTGACAGTCAAAGTGACAATAGATCTACTTTAACAAGAAAAAAACTAATGCGAATGAAAAATATAATGGTAATTGACATAACACTGTTAAGTATGGATTCATTTTTAAAGAAATTATAATTATATCATCATTTTATTTTAATCAGATGAGTTAGTAGGTAGACCAATTTTCTTGATTACAAGGATAAAACTATTGTTGTCATTTTTGAAAAATCTATGCAGTTGTCAAATGAGATATATTGAATCGATAATCGTTATCACTAATTGTTGTTAGATATATGACCCAAACGTTATCTGCATCTAACAGTTGACGAATATTGCCTATGCGAAAGAAGCTACCCATTGCAAACAAAGTTTCTTCTTCATCTTGAAATAAGGAATAATGAGAAATGTTAGCACATGGACGTGCAAGTGTTTGTGAATTCGTTTCAATATTAAATATAACTGAGACTAGATTGGAATTTTCATGACATTTGCCAGCATACATTAGAGCAATTTGCATAGATGCTGTTGTCGATAAGAATGTGTTTATTGAAATGATACAACCGCGAAGTGATTTGAAAGTCTCGAATTCTTCGCTTGACATCAATTGACCACGATAAAATGTCTCTGATTTTGAATCCCAAAAAGATCTATGCGATTGTTGGTATGATTCTTTTAAGTGAAGATAGAGATCAGTAAGAATGTATCGGAGTTTAAACATAGCGTCGGCATCACTTGATCGAAGTGCTTGATTAATCGCTCGCCAAATAAAAGAATCACGTGTATACCATTGTACAGCTGCATTCGAATGGTAAGTGTTTTCAAAGTTATCAATCTGTGCAAGAATCTCTTGATTATCATTGTACATACGACGAAATTCAGCAACCATTTCGGCTTTTGATTCAAGTGTATGTGGCATACAAAGAAGACTATCAATTGTCCGCTGATGAGCCATGAACAAATGTGGTTGTTCTGAACTATAAACAGTAATTGGCAACGGTAATAGTGAGTTCGCATCTTCTGTATTTTGTACAATCTAGAGAATAGAATACGCAACAATAGAAATGACTTCTGGCCGATAAACGGATAGCAATAAATTATCACTCAAAATTACGAAAATTTAGCGTTTCTAACATAATTTTTCATGTATCTGAGAGGGTATTAAATTCTGAATAACAAAATTATCGAATATCTTTGACAACAACTGTTTGTTTTGATTATCTTACTACTCATTATTAGAGGATAAGATTCTATAGAAATGTAAATGTCAATCTCACTTTAATTTCGCTACTGATGTTCGTTGTCGTATGCCATTTACTGTTGAAAGTTTCCAACGAGCTTTGAAGTTGTTGATAATCATGTTTGATTTGCTTAGCGAGCATTGTAGAGTCATTAAAAACACCTCGAATTTGTGAATAATCACGGCTCCAATTCGAATTTGGATCAAGTTGAGCACAATAAATATATGTAGCAAAAATTTGATTCGTCAAACATAATCCCAAATAAAATAACTGTTTGCCAAGTGATCCCGAAGTAATAAGAAATATGTATCGTTGTTCGCGTAACTGCATTTCAATAAATGATACACATGTTGATATATTATCAAAAAATTGCCATTGAAATGGTTCAATAATACGATGAAATTCAGTTTCAGCATCATGCAACATTTCATCAAGCCAAATAAATGAAAATAATTTAGGTTTTGGAGAATGAAAGCGATGATAATCAAAAGAAGACAGATTTCTACAAGGATGTCTTCTCATAGTCTCGAGATCGGGTTTCTCAGAGTGTACATTGTTTTTTATTGCTTTTTGTTGACGAGTCAACTTAGGCTATAGAAAAGAGAAGTTAGCATGGAAAAAGTTCTTGATATCTTACTTCTTCTCGAAGATATCCTTGTTTAATACAATTTGCATACCAGTCAAATATTTCCGCAGTAACTTCAACTTGTCGTGGAGCGAACGTAGCATGAGCTCGACGAAGTGCCGAATTAAATCGAAGATTTTCGTCCAAGTGAGTAAAATTGAGTGGTGATACTCGTGAGACTTTCCAGTCTCGACCAAAAATAAAGCTAAAATTCCATTTGATTTCATCTTCAACGTATTCATTTTCGAGAAATGCACACCAGTCATCTTCATCGTCCATAATGTTAATTTCAGTTGTAATCATTAATTTGCTCCATTCACTTGGCATCTGTAAGAGGTTACCATATACATAGAATCGAATTGGTGACAATTTCTTAATGAATCGAGAAATGCAACGTGGATCTTCATTTTTGAATAGTAGTTCAGCGTAGGGCATAAGTGATGAATGTCTGTCACTACTTGGAATATAGTCATTGAGTTGACGAATGACTGCTGAAGTATAGCCGACTTTTGTACCTAGAACATAAGTTAGATTCGTGTTATTCTATCAAATGAATTCTTATAGACAATCCAGATTTCAAGATCACTATAGGATGTGAATGCAAGTATTATCCTCTTCGATCCACACTCATACTCAAAGTTATCAAAAGTCCATCATAACGATAAGGAAGATATTAATTAAGAGTATGAATCATACATGTGTAGTTAGATAGAAGTGTATTTCATGAAATTCTCAGAAATCTGGTTTCTGATCATGAAAAATGATACCCTTTAGGAAAAAAATATGTGTAGTTAAATCCTGTTCATTAGCTCAAAACAAATATTTGTTTGCTGAAAACTTTCTTATGGTTTCCCGATACATACATCTCTTAAAATTGATATCTTAAAAAAGTTCAGACATCTTGATTGACTTACAAACTTTTTGTAATCTTTGCTGAGCACTATCCAAATTTTCTTGACTACTGTTTAATGAAATGAGAAGAATATGACAGGGTTCAGCCTAAAATAGGACGAAGTCAAACGATTGAATTCAAATTTATTGATCCTACCTTAAAAAACGACATAACCCATTGTTGCAATACTCGTGCTTGTTGATAATAAATCTTCACCAGAGACATTTGTTCTAATTTTATTTGTTTTTCACCTTCGGACGTCAGAAAACGTACAATATCATTTGACAGATCTAGTGTCACCTGCTTGAATGAATTTGTCATTTGATTCATTTGTTTCGGACTAGTAGAATCCATACTCTCTCGTTTGTATATACCTTTTACACGATGATTTTCTTTTAAACGTGCCAAAAGATTATCATCAATCGGATCAAGTAGAATTACAAAGAATCGAGATAAACATGTGTCAGGTATTTGTGGAGTTACACGGACAAGCTCTTCAAGTGATGTGGCATCAAAAGCAAATAAGATTGATACAGGCAATCGTAAATTGACGGCTGCAATGCTTTTGCTGGATCCAAATATCACCACAATTGGTTCGAACGATGCCATGATACAGAAATTACTTGTTACTTCCTAATATGAAGGCTTCAAAGTCGTATGCTTTCTTGCTTTCTGTATAAATAAGAAAGAGAAAAAAAAATGAAACTTATCTTAAGCAACGCACGTGTAAGGTTACTTGATGAAAAAGTACAGAGAAAAGTAAAATATTTTTAAGGCGGTTGGAAAAAACCAATATGAGTTACAATTTAGCGTCATTTGTAAGGACTCTTTATCTAGAAAAAAAAGTTGGAAAAACCCAAGTAGCATATTATATTTTTGTCTCATGGTTACATGTACCTGTTATGATTTTTACATCGAAAGGATTCTCATAGAACCAGCTGTGATAGGCAAGTACGAATTTTCTCGAATGTGACAATGACAAATTATTTCAATTTATCATTGTATGATTTTATGACAACACAAAAAAATTACTAGCTGCGATTATTCGATCCAGTTGAAGATGATATCTTGCTTGCTGATATCGTTAAAATCCAATTGAAAACATTTAATTTCATACAAATAGGTTTCTATTTGGATACTTTCTGAAGAATGTCTCCCTTAGTCCTTTCCTTCAACGAAAAAAGGAGTGATAGTCAATAGTCATATCATTCAAAATATGCTCTCAAGCAATTTCATTACAGTCTTAGTTGTTCTACTTAGAATGTGACAAAATTATATATCTAAATAATTGATCATAATTATTCTATCATATATTCGTTTTTTTCCCGTTTCTTTTTTAACATAGTACAAGTTTCTCTTTTTTCACTTACACCTATAAATTTTTGCATTCGAACTTCATGCAAAAATCATAATACATGTGTGTCATGTTTTATTTGCTTAAAAATGTGTAATTTTACTTTTTACTTTCTGTTTTTCTTTGATGCATTATAGGAAATAAAAAACAAAAAAAAAATCATTTTTCTTTCATCTTAAGTTGAAAGATAACAAAGTGGTGACGTAGACATTCTTCTAACAACATACTGTCATGTCTGATCAACCTATTGCATCTTTCTATACATTACCATTGGAACTTATTCATTATATTTTCGGTTATCTTGATGCAAAAACAATTGTTCGTACATTTCGTAGTATTTGCAAACGATTCTACATAGCTGTTAAAACATATGATCAATTTAAATTAGATTTTAATTCGATTTCAAAATCAGACTTTCTTTTCCTTTGTAATTTTATTGAATCCAAAAATATTGAGTCACTTACACTTTCTGATAGAGATGAAACACCAGGTCAAATTGAATATTTTCTTTCGTTTATTCGTATCAAATATTTTAATTGACTTCGTTCTTTAACTCTTCTTGAAATCGATGATTGTTACTTGAATATTATTTTGAAAGAGATTCAAACTTTGATGCTTAATTCACTATCAATTCATTCGAAACAAGATTATTCGCAAAGTAACACAAGTACAAATGCATTCTCATTAGCTCTATCTTTACCTAATCTTTATAAGCTCAAGTGGAATATTTCGAGCTTCGATTTATCTAAAATATCGTGGCCTTTTAATAGTACAATAAAACATCTGGAGATTTGTTGTCGTACGCTCGATGAATATTGTAACATTCTTTATCATTTACCTAATCTACAATCATTGGTAGTAGAACAGTGGCATGAAACTGTCGAAGATGATACAATTGATAAATGGTCGAATTTAAAACCCTTTCATCAATTACTTTCTCTCACTTTCAAATATTGCAGTATTGATATGATTATACTTGACTCTCTTCTCTTGCTTACTCCCACATTGGAACAACTTCGGCTAATACGAGCTGTAGATGTACATGTTTTTCTATCCCACTTACAACAATGGGAAAAGTTTGTTGAAACAAAATTACCATCATTAATCAACTTCGAATGTTTTCTTACTGAAGATCTGCTGTACTTTGATAATCCTCATCCTATTGATACCGAATTACTTATAGCTCCATTTCGAAAACCGTTCTGGACTGAAACCAAAAGTTGGTTTGTCATATGTGATCACATTGTTTGTCCACGAACTGTCATTCTCTATACACCAGGCAGTTTTGATCCTCAATTTGAGTATGTCTATGAATCAAAAGAGATTTTGCGCTCATCTTCTGCACCAACTATTACTAATACGATAGTAATGAACGGAGTGCGCAAAATGTATATGGACTTAACAAAAGTGATGACTGCAGCTACATCACCACAGGTATAAATGAATATCGATTCTTTTTATTTAGTTCAATAGAGGGGTTTTTTATACATATTTTGGATACTCTTACAGTGCGGCAAAAATTTTAGTCTCATCCATGTAGCGATTGCTGCATTAAAACAATACCAATCAAGAGTATGGATGTTATTAAAGTGAAAAAAATCTCTTGTTTTCCTAAAGGTTCTGGCAATAACCTATCACTTTTGAAAACTTTTTTCAAGCACCTGTATGTCAACAAAAGCGCATATAGATCGCTTGTAAGTTTTTATGTAAATGAGACATACTGTTAGCGAATGTTTGATTTCCTATGCACAAGTGGCAACAGAATTAACCACTGGGTTATCGAAACCTTTGTTTCAACGAGTGTACGGAAGATGCGATCTATGTCCAGAAAAAAATTAAGATAAATGAAAGAACATTTCAAGGCTATTAGTTTCTATGTAACACATGAAAAGTGATTTTCGTTTGCAATTTGTGCATACAATATCTCTATGGATGAAAAATAATGTAGACCTAAAATTTCGATCGTAGAAGAATCTTATTAAATATTCACTTGAACAGTTTTTTTTTCATCTCTAAGCAATTGTCCAAGTTTTAACCGAAATCATGATCTGGGATAGATAATCTAAACTGAAACTGAACCTTTCGAAATTGACAGTCACTAGAAGAGTACTTCGTTCAATGATATGAACGATGAATTCAACTCAATGAAGAATATTTTCACTTGTCTATTACGAAATAGCCTTCAAATAATCTTATCTATTGAAATTTATTTGTTATTGACAGGGTGGCTTGTCGAATAATATAGTATTTCCTCAACTTGATGAACTTACTCTATGTATTAGTCAACAATGGCTATCGGGTTCACTTCGTGTTCTTTCGACTCTTATCGATTTGTCACGTCTCGTCAAACTTTCATTGACAATAAATAATTCATTTTATTATTTTTCAAAACCAAGAGTAAATATTGATACATTGTTAAAACTGGCGCACAATATTCGCTGACTTAAGATATACATTGCTTGCAACTATAATACGCCTATAAATGATGCTAATATAGACATCTGTTATTTAGTTCCTGATCAAGTGAAACATGTTACAATTTCTGTATCTACTATGTATCAGATGCAAGAGCTTCTTCGTTATTTCAAATATAAATCAAGCATCAAATTTGAATATATAAATACTGATTTTAGTACTGCTGATATGCACCTTGCATGGTTCCAGAACGAAAAATCATATCATACTTATCGATTAAATGATTCTTCTTTATGCATCTGGCTTGACAAGTGTACAAAGACATCGTAACAAAACAAAATGGCTAATCACAAATCAATGCATGAACTTAATTGGTACTTAACGTTATTCATATTTTGATTCGTATTTTACATATTTTGTCAATTACATTAATAAAATTCCATTTAATTTCATCTTTTTCTTGCATATATGTTACAACTAGGCAAGCATAATTTGAAAATGCATAGAGATTTATTTATCGTTTCTGTAAGTATTACTAAATGAAGAAAAAGACAAACGAACAAAACTAAGATTTTGCCATTGCTCTTACAAGATATGTGACAAGTATGGACACAACTGACAGGAAAAAAAGATGTTATATATGGATAATTAGGCATGTCACGTAACTAATACAACATTCAGATAATGATATGCCTAATGTTTGAAGTAACAGGAATTGAACCTCAATGACATTGAATGCCATTCAATATCAAGACAGTCCGATGGCAATACTATTGTCCATTTCAGAGCTAAATGGCTCTGACTATTTTTTCAATAATTTCTGATCGACTAAGGCTATCGAGTTTGAGGGTGTGTAGTTGGAAAGAGCAGACTCTAATGCATCTTTTTGTATAACTCATTTGAGTCTACAAGCACCTTTTTACGACTGTTTATACGTCGATATATTGTTTTTGTACTTTCGCAACGAGTTGTTTTTACATTGTAATTCCGATTATACCAAGTTGAAGCTGGAATTCCGTTGTATTTATGGTAAAATTTTGACATCTTCATATTGTCTTTTTAATCTCATTCCTTCAACACTGTCGCTTTGATGTATGGTAATTTTACTCTATATACAATGAAACTCCGGCTATAATTTGGTATAACGGGAATTAGAATGTAAAAAAAAACTCTTTGCGACAATATAAAAAACAATATATCGACGTATAAACAGTCGTAAAAAGGTGTTTGTAGACTCAAATGAGTTATACAAAAAGATGCATTAGAGTCTAGTCTTTCCAACTACACAACCTCAGATTCGATAGCCTTAGTCGATCAGAAGTTATTGACAAAATAGTCACAGCCATTTAACTCTGAAATGGACAGTAGTTAACAGCTAATTGATTGGTATTATTATGTAGCTAAGGAAATTAATCTTCTTTCATCTGGCCACACAACATCTGCACCCACTCACACAGTGGGAAACTTTCGCATAAGCAGGTAGACATGCAAATTTTTGATTAGGAATGACTTTCATTGGACTAGAAATGATAGTATACCATTCAAAAACTTGTTTTTAAAAAAATAAAAGGTGTTTTAAGAAAAACAATTTTCGAAAAAATATAGTTGAGGAGAACTCAGCCTATTTTTTCGAGAGTTTTTTGAAAAACATGTTGAACTACATATCATTCGATGAAGTTTAATGCACCAATTCCAAATATCACCTTAGTTTTTCTTCAGAGTGTAACATGAATGTCTGAAACTGGATTTTTTTCGTCAAAAATCTGTATCATTGGTTGTTTTTCGCTATATTCCATCAAAAATTGACTTCCACAAAAATGACTCTTTTTATACATGGTCTGATGCAGTTCGGCGGGCGGATTCTGAATATCACCTTAATTTTCCTTCAAAGTGTAATACAGAAGCCTAAAACCGAATTTTCGATTAAAAACCGTAGGTTTTTGAGAATCCTATAGAACAGACAAGGCAAAGTTGTACGAGTTGGCACTACTATCGTAATTAGGATATGTATCCAAGAGTATCTGTTAAAAATTTCAGTTCGATCAGACATTATTCCTTCGTAGGGTTTTCAAAGTCCCAAATGACTCGGTTTTGGGCTTGTATCTGCTGTAAAAATGGATCAAAATTTTTTTTAAAAGCTATTATGTATATATGGTTCGTTACAGCTCGACGAGCTGATTCCGAATATCACGCTAGTTTCCGTTCAAAGTCTAGCTTTCTGTCTAGAGACCTCAGATTTTGGGCACCTTCTAAAATAGCCTAGAAACGGTTTTGTGAGTTGGCGCTACTACAGTAATTAGGATGCATATGTATGTATATGTGGTAATAAAGCGCGCTTGATTAGATGTGATCCCTTTGTAGAATTTTTAATATACGGAACAGTAAATTTTTCGGGTAGCTTTTTGGCGTAGAGACTGTTTGTTTTCTACTTTATTTTAAATTGGATTACGATAATTTTTTTTATCATAAAATTCATAGGTGAGCAAGTTTTTTACGATATTGTTTGTTTGGGCCATATTGTGTTACTTTGCAGAGTGGCTTGACTTTTTCTATTTATACTGATTTCTGGGCCCGAGCCGTGGCAGGCTGTTTTCTTGGGCTCTGTAGAACTTTGAGAACCGCTATTCTGGCAAATCATAGAGGGTGTGGGTGGGGGTGTGGATGTGGGTAGCTGTGGGTGTCCTTGTAGTGAATTTCTACCCACCCACACCCACACCCTCTGAATACAAACTCGCATTCATGCTTTGTCATTGAAGCGAAAAAAATGGATTTTCTCGACAATCAAACAATGGTTGTCAAAAAAGAATACATAAATTTTATTTTCTTATTTAGCAGTTGAATAAAACCATAAAAAAATATCGATCCTAACGAGATTTGATGCCTTTGGCTTTTTCAGTTTTCATAGACAATTATGGAATTCTCCTCGTACTAAACTGGCGAACACTGTTATTGGATTTTGATTGCAACAATGATGAACTAGTTTAATTTCGTTGCATTCCACTAGCTCATCTATACACAGCGTTATTTTCATTTTCGAATGAACTATTTTTTAGTAATCAATTCCAACATTGTTTTTCATATAACTTTTATTTTTTTCTCTAATCGATTTTAGAAAATTTTATGCTAAAACAATGGTAACGATTCATACAATAGGTTAAAAAAATGAATGCTCGTTTTTATGTTTATCTTAAGGTAATTTTATTTCATTGAATAGATAATGTAAAAAATAAAAGTTATTTCGAATAGATTCGTCAACACAAAACTGATTTAGTTAAACAGCATTTAGCTGCATTGAACGATACGATCTATTCAACGTTTACTTAAATATACATCAACAGCATATACTGATTATCGATTATTAATTGATTCATTGGATTAATAGTATTGATAATTATCGAGTAAGAAAACGAACCCGACAGTATAAAGTATGTTTTGTTGTTGTTACTAAATTTTAGCCAAAGTTCCTTGCTGTACATCATGATTACATAAAAAATTTTCAAGTTATTGAACTTCAACAAGAATTAACAACAATACCAACGCAGCTGTTGCTTTTCTCCGATCATCTTGAATATAGGTGGAAAACACTCGTTATGAAAACATACAAACATATTGCACTTATTCAATTAAGGAATATTAAAAGTTTATTTGATATTAATCCATTATCATTAACAATTGATGGTAAAATTATTGGCTGTTTTTGTTTTTTGTGGAACTCACGTTATGTTTTTCTTTTCGAAGAAAAATAGAATGAGTGTAGGTTTTAGAGATATGCGAGACGAAAATTTGGAAGTTTGTCGGTTTCGTGCTCACAATGTTTTCATTATAATTAATTTCACATTTCTCATAGCATCTTGATAGTGATCGTTTAGAAATGCAATCATTATAGACTTTGAACTTAAGAGTAGCAATTGGATGTAGCGAAGCGTTACAGAATTCAATTCTTTTTACCTTCTTCAACCTATATCTTCATATCGACAAGAGCAAACGCGATGAAATTTTTATCGTGATTATAGATCACCGAGATCTTACACAAGTTAAAAGTTTATTGATTTCTCTTGAACCAGAGATGAGTTATTACACAATACCGACCGTTAGAGAATTTCAAAAAATAGACGCTTTTTTTAAAAGAAATAAAAGTTTTTCAAATTGTTGAAAATCATAATACTGAGCTATATTGAAAAGAAAACAGAAATTAAAGAACGTGAGCATCTTTATCTTGAACAAAAATTTTATGATTCAAGAAATTTTTATCCATTTCGTATGTACCTTTTTCAGATCTACTTTCTGCTTGGACCATAGTGTTTATGTGTCGAATGTGGTGGGCATGGATTCAGAAAAAGAAATTTATACCAACAACAAAAAGCAGCACCAAATCAACATTTTTCATTACTAAAACAGCATATTTATCAGTTGAATTAAATGCTCACAGCTTGCTTTATATAATTTTATTGGTTCAATAAAATCAATTACCAAAAGAAGCATTGAACATATATCTATTTAATTCGCAGTCATGTGAATCAATGTTTCGTAATACCATATCACTTAGTAGTACATATTCAACAAGAATCAATTTTACGGCTGCTGACTTTTTTCATCATTCACAGAAAATTTCAATATTAAATTGGATAAAATGTGATCAGTCATCTCAAGAAGATGATAATGAAGTTTTATCATTTCCTATTCATCACAAGCATGCAGGTGATAGTCATTTATCACCTGTACAAACTTTCGATGATATTGAACAACTGGATATTGAAAAAACTATTCTTGATGCATTTAACCAAGCACTCAAATTAACTCAACCTTTAGAAATATCTAAATTACTAAAAGAACATGATATATTTGAGTTAAATTCATTAAGCAAATATGTTTTTCAAGAATTAAATTCCAGCTCCAGAATGTTTGATTACCTAGTACAAACAATTGATGATGATACTAATGAATTCAATCTTAAAGAAGAAGAAGATAATGAGAACGAAAACACCGCTAACAATCTTAGCGATGATGAAGAAACAATGGATGATATCGAACTCGAAGAAGACGAAAATAACTATAGTATGACGACTATAAATACATTTCAATGGTATAAAAATTTACGACAATATGGAACCTTGTCGACGAGATTCTTATTTTAAAATGAAGCTTAATGATAATCAAAAGTATATACATAAACAATCGGCTTGTTGGCTATTAATAGATAAATCTCTGAAGTTGTCCAATGATCGACTTTCGCGAGTCATCCAAACAAGCCGTAAGGACAATAATGATCTCTTTTAGCTTATTGTATGAATTATTTCTTTTCTAAAAAAAAATATAAATAAACGATTTTCAAAGCAAATTCATATCTTTATTTATATATTTCATAGCAGTGCTGCGTACTTCTTCATAATTTTCCATACTTCTCTGTACGTCTTTGTACTTCTTCGTACTTTTCTGTACTTCTTCGTACTTCTTTGTACTTCCCTGTACTTCTTTGCACTTCTTTGTACTTCTTTGTACTTCTTCGTACTTCTCAATACTTCTCAGTACTTCTTCGTACTTTTCAGTACTTTTGTGCTTCTGAAGTAAAGAAGTCTGCTTTTTCCCCCTTGGATCTTTTTCCAGAAACTTACTTTTAAAAATTAGAGAGGCATTGTTTCTAGGTAATCCCATGTGGTTCTGTTCAATTATGCATAAAAAAACAAAAAAAATGGTGGAGAAATTTTGCGTTTCTTGTAGCTTACAAAAAAAAATATATTGAAAGAATTGGCTCTTCGAAGTAGAATTTTTTTGATGATTGACTTACTCAAATTGAAATCATTATTTGAAGATGACAGTTCAATAAAACTACTGCAATGGCCATAGTACTTATGAATAGTGTCCTGCATGACTAACATGTTTTTGGTTACAATCACGAAAAAGAATTCGTGTTTAAACATCTTTAGAGAAAAATTCTTTACGGTATAACAGTATCCTGTGATATTTCTATTAGTAATTGTACATCTTAAAAGCGATATGCACATAATATCTACTGCTTCCGAAATACAAACTAGTGTACAATTTCTCCAAAAAAACAGAGTTTACGACGTACACTTTGTAAGAGAAATTACTTCTTTCCTTCTAATATGTTGAAAGTTATTTTGAATTTCGAAAAACATGTTTTAACTATAGTGTAGAACACGATCTATCAATTAAAAGTTGTATCTATGTTTATTGAAATGATATGAACATTGTTCTAGTTTTTATTTCTTTACAATTTATGAAACTTCGTTTTTCTTTTGTATACTTTGTCCATATAAACAATGTGTAAATATATACATCTTGTATTAGACTTCCAATAGAAAAATTGGTCACAATCACGCAGTTCACTACTCATCAAATTATTTGAAAGATTTGAATAACAATGAAACTTCCATCTAATATTTTTGAAAAATATTATTTATTTTATATTCAATAAAAAAAATTTCTAATGTGTAATATTTTACTCGGCAGTCTTTAATCACAAAACGATTGTTGAGAAAATTTTCGAATAACATTCGAAACAATATAATTCGGATATAATAGAAAGAAAATAATTATTACTTTTCATGTTGCCTTCAATGAATCATTTGTTGATGATAGTGTTGAAATCGGAGATAAGAAGAAAAAGAATAGCAAATATAATAATAAATGTTTTCAATAATGTAATACGAAAATGGCAATTTGGAAATTATGTCGAGCAATAAAGATTAATTGGCAAATACATTAGAGGAACATAGCCAACTACTAATTGACAGATCCAAGCTAATCTGTTTAAATCATCGAGATACATATATGTTTATTGAGATAATAATATAAATCACACCATATCATTCTTGTTATATTGGAAATAATGATCTTGAATGAAATAAAATCAATAAGATTGATTATATTCTAGTGGTGAAATCTGAAATCGATTCATGTCAAAGATCATTTCTTCATTGTGACTCATGATGATATTCAGAACTGTTGTGAGAGCATTAAGATTAGAAGGTGAGTGTGAAGAAAATTTCCATATAAGATAAACTAAAAAATACTTCTAGAATATTCTGTTAACTCTCAGAAGACCAGTTTTCAAATAATCGAAACTGATTGAAGATCGATAAAAAAAACTCGACTCAAATCTATAAGTTTTGTAATATAGAGAATGACAATGTAAATATTTTATATTTTAGCTTCATCAGAGATTGCAATGGCAAGTTGTATTTTGAAAAATTTTGCGAATCTCAGATGGTGAATATATGGATGCGAAGATTAGAAACTTCTATTTACTTATATCCACACAACGACCATACAGAATGGTTGTTTTTCAGATTAGTCAATTTTTCTTGATAAATTTTCAAAAAGTAATTATTGATAATGTAAATATTTTTTGGACACTATGTACTAGCAGAATTGAAAATGAAAAATTTCTCAGTATTTACAGTATATACTTCGACTATCATTCATTCATTTATTGTTTTCTTGAATTTAAAATTTTCTGCCTTCAGAAACACGTGATTATATTGTAACAATTTTTTTTCTTGTGTCACCTTATTATAACTGTGCACATCTCTCATTCATGGAAAGAATGCGAGTTGTTATTATAGATATTATTGCGTTCGAACGATGATGATGCATTTGTTTCGTTCGTTATCGTTGTTCTTTGACGCAGACTCGCATTTGTTTGCACAAACGCACTTAAAAATGAATGATAAAAATAATCTTTCGTTTAGTAGCAAACAAAACACATTCGCATACCTAACAACTTACCAAGCAACAAAAAAAAACGTCTATCAACAAGAAAGAAAAAGAAACAATTTCTATTTAACTAAGAAGACGAACAATTTTTTTCTTGCAATTTTTCTGTCTTTTTTACAATATTATTGAAATTTTTTAGACGAACTAACTAACAAATGAAAATTTGCATACATGTTCATTTATTGTATGATCATCGATTGATAAGCAGTATATGACTAATAATTATGTGTTTGTAAGACGAACGAAATAGTAAATAAAGACAAGAAAGAAAGAAAGAAATACGGCGGAAAACGGTAGTCCTTTTTCTTTTTACTTTTGATGAGATTTTTATTAACTGAATGCAATGCACATGAAAAACATTTAATACAGTCAGAGACAACTAAAAGAAAAAAAAACAGCAACAATATTTTTAAATTTCATTTATGATTAAAATTTTCGTTTCTTTTTCTTTCCAACGAATAACGATCGATAATGCAATCACTTTGATATTAAAAAAAAAGAACGAACGATCGAGATAAGAAGTCGTTAATGTATATTTATAGCAACCAGCCAAGAAACAACCAAAATATATTTAGAGGGTATGAGTATAGGATGTGGATGAAGAGAAGACTCACACCCACATCTCTAGATACAAATCAAAATTATATTCATTTGTATTTGTTCAGTATATTAATTTTATTTTGTTTAAATAATTATCAATCACTCATCAATAGGAAAATTGACTGTTGCATGCCATTTAACTTCGTACGTAGTATGATTATGAGAAGATAACAGCTAGAATAAGATAAGCTTAAACAAATACGTATTGATGGTCTAACAGTAATGGAAAGTTATAGGACATTTTAACATTGACATGACCATGATCATCTTTTGAATTAGTCATAGTTGTACGAGTGCTATTCAGTATTCGCATTAATTTTCATTTGTTCTATCTTAGCCAAAGAAAAAAAGAAACAACTATTTATAATTGAGTAACATTATTGATCAACTGCATTGAGTGTCTTAAATTCAGCACTAAAACACATCACTTGAATCGATGTTACAAATGTGTAGTATTTGAATGAATTTTGCTGAGATTTAATCATACCCTTTGTAGATAATTGATTCACATTAAAACGGTTAAGATTATTTGACTGATATTTTATTAACATATTCTACTAAGTGTTCGTGTGAGAGTTCAACGAAAATGAACATATATCTTTTTCAACATAGTCAATTTTCAAATAGATATAGTGAACTACTAGTTTTCTCAAACAAATATTCAGGTCAAACACTCTCTATTAAGATTTTTCATGCTTCGATCGATGCTTAGACATATCCATAATATAAGATGGAATGGTGTCTAATATTTGAATGTATTTCATCATCAATTATGAAAACGACTATCGTTTTTTCTTCGCATCGTTGATTGAATAAAAAGTAAACATATCAATTGAGTTCGGATTCGAAGATATTCGGTTGACTAACGAAGGAAGAACTACTATTGAGATTCGGTCGAACTATTGAATTTCCAATATCTTTATCTTGTCAGAGGCTTCTGTGGAATTTTAAACTGTCAGAAATTTTTTTTGCATTAAGTCTTAAGATCTTATATATAGTGGTAGCTTTCCTCTGACTAATCGGCATATTATGAATTCAATAGTTTCGATAAATTTCAATAGTAACTCAAATCCATTTAAGACTTTCATCACTGAACACTATGCAGCATTTACAGGCGATTTTTTCTTGATTCTGATCATGAAGACGGTTAAGAAATATTCTGAAAATTGGACACCTTATATTGATTCTTATATACATGATAATGAAAGTGATCATCATGTTGTGATCGATCATTAATAAAAGTAATTCTTTTTGATAGGAAAAAAAAACTTCTTGAATATAAATCATATCATCGTGTTGACTTTTATTTTTATAAATGAAAATCATTGCATTCAACAAAAAACAAGTATGTTTACTTTTTAATTTATGTAAATAATAATGTTTCTTATATTGTTTTAAACTATTAGATAATTTACATTGATTCATTCAATAATCTTTGACTTATAACATATCCATCGAATAATAATAATAATAATAATCCAACAAAACCACCATACCATGTTTATGTACAATATCGAATTATTAATACATAAAAACTAGTATATGTTTATATTTTCTCATTTCAGTCATGTGCATGTATATATTTTTGGAATTCTATTTCTACTCATTGTATGCCTGATAGGCACATTTTTTGATTGTTTTCTTGTTATACTATTATAACATTTAGTTGTATGTGATAAATTCTATTAAACTATAATACACATAACAAGAACAAACATTTTTGAATTCTATAAATATTTTATTCTATATAATATTAGAAATAATGAAAAAAAATCATGTTTTTATTCATATCTCTTCA